AGGGAAAGAAAGACAAACAAGCAGATTGTAAAATTTGAAGTAACTCAAATAGTAGAAAGTCTTTGTTTATGGTGTATATATTATGAATAAAATCACATATTCTAACCATTTCCCAAAATATCCCTTTGTTTTGATGAATCTTTTCATTTCCATTTTCAAAGTCTAAATTATACTTGTGTCTATTTGAGTTGTTAACAGTGGAAATTCTTATTTAAAGATCTATTAAAGTGTACCAAATGCAGCATGTTGTTCCACTTTTTTTAAATGGCTAAAGTTTGGCCTAAGTTATGTTTTGTAATTACAGAGCTTCAAGTTCTGACTGTGGCGGTTAGTTTCATTCATCAAATATTTATTGGAGCCTACTGTGTATAAGGCATCAAGCTAAGTGCTTGAGGGCATACAAAAATGAATTACTCATAATTATACCTATGCCAGTCTTTCATGTGATGGGAATTTTACCATGCAGAATAGATAACTGATAAAAATGAATGCTTGCCACACCAGTTAGCAAATTTTAAATACTAGGTTTCACCAGACAGCATAACACAGATGATATCAACAAAGCAACTGACTTTTCTGAACATTTGAAATACATAATTATTTATCATTTGCTGCCTGCTCTCTGACACACCTGTATCAAATAGCCTGTCTTCCTTGCTGAGTCTTTTAGATACCTCAGAAAGGGGCTTTCTCCCATTGGTTTTCTGACTTTTATTTTGACAGAGTTGAGTTTCATTTCAGACCTGAAGCATTTTTTCCCTTGCTGTTTATGTTTTTGGTAAAATTTTATCAATTATTTCCCATGGCATGCAGTTTCACCAACTGAAAGTGTCCAGTTCAGGCTGGTAATATAGCTCAGTTTTAGATAACTTGCCTAGCATGTTCAAAGCCCTGGTACCAAGGAAGTGAAGTGCACAATCCTTGGCTTTTAGTGTATCATGGCAACCCTTACCACAGTCACACATTCACATTACTCCAGAAAGAATCCTATACTCTAGTTACCCTCTCCTGGTCTCCTCCTCTCCCTCCAGATTTAGGCTACCACCTCTAATTTGCTTTCTGCCTCTATATTTTCCTACTGTGGACATTTATTATAAATGAAGTCATATATGTGTTCGTTCATGACTGGCTTCTTGACTGTCATGTTTTCAAAGTTCATCCACATTACCATGAATCATGTCATTCCTTTTTTTTTTCTTTTTTTTTTCTTTTTTAATCTTTTTGAGACAGGGTCTCCTTGTAGCCCCAGCTGTCCTGGAACTCACTATGTAGACCAGGCTGGCCTCGAACTCACAAAGATCTGCCTGCCTCTGCCTCCCAAGTGCTGGGATTAAAGGCATGCACCACCATGCCCGGCGATGTCATTCCTCTTAATGGCTGAATAATATTCTGTTGTGTCTGCACATTTTCTTTATCCGTTCACCAACTGAAGGACATTCAGGTTGTTTCCACCTTTTCCCTATTATGAGTAATGATGCCCTGAACAATTATGTACAGATTGTTCCATGAACGTATTTTTCAAAACAGGGTCTTATTCTATACCCAAGGCCAGCCCCCAATTCAGGACCTTCTGCCTCATCCTTATGAGTGCAAGGACTATAGATACACTACAAACATGTTTTAATATCTCTTCAGTATCTACCCAGGAGTGGAATTTAAAAGACTTGCCAGACTTATTTTTTGTGTGCACGAAACCCCTTTAACTCATCTATTTATATAGATCCTTGGGTTTGGCCTGGCTGTTTTTGCTGTTCTTCGTACCTCTCTGGCTTTTGCCATCATTTCTCTCTTCAGAATAGATTACATCATGCATTAGCATGTTTCTTTTTCTCTACTCTCCTTCTTTACTTTCTCTGTTAGTGCATCCTTACACTTTTCCTAACCCTTTCTAAATTACTGTCAACTATTACTTTTTGTCTTATGGAGAAGTCTCTTTAAAGATTTAGGGATTAGTTGGTTCAGTCAGTAAAGTGCTTGCCACATAAGCATGTGAATGAGTTTGTTCCTAGAACCCATGTAAATCCAGGCCTGGTGGTACATGCCTGTAATCTTAGCACTGGGGAAGGGGAGACAGGACAATCCCTGGGCTGGCCAGACAGGCAATCAGCAAGCTCCAGGTTTGGTGAGAGACCCTCTCTCAATAAGGTGGGATGTGATAGAGAAGACACCCAACACTGATCTCGGGCATTCATAAGCACCTACACACACGTGTTCTCTCCTTTCATCATGTGGGTCCCAGGGATTGAACTCTGACCTCTGTTGTGAGACTGAGGTTAGCCTGGTCTTCATAGCAAGTTCCTGGTCTTCATAGTAAGTTCTTTACCTGCTGAGTCATCTTGCCAGCCCCAGGCAGTCTAAGTCTTTAAGGGCTTTAGTTTTCTGATTTATAGAATGAAAGAAAAATTTAGTAGATATTATCTGTGATCTTCACATATCTAAGAAAAAGGTTGTGTAATAAGAGGATGAATCTTTGGCTAATCTTCCTTTAATACAGTATTAATAGTATAGCACAGAATATAGTATTATGGCGTATAATAAGCAGTTTTTACATGTATGTAAATGACAGTGTACATATATTAAACAATGTTAGCACAGAGATTAAAATTATGGCAGATCATTTCTGTCAAGAAGAGGATCTCTGTTGTGAGATTGAGGTCAGCCTGGTCTTCATAGCAAGTTCCCGGCCAACTGGGGCTACAGGGAGACCCTGTCTTAAAAAGAAGAAAAAGCCAGGCATGGCAGTGTGTTCCTGATATCCCAGTGCTAGGGAAGTGGAGACATGAGGCTCCTTAGGGCTTGCTGGCCAGTCAGTCTTAGCTGAATTGGTGAGCTACAAGTTCAGTGAGAGCCTCAACAAATATGGTGGAAAGTGATTAAGGAAGACACCAGATGCTGATCTCTGGTCCCAACATGTACATGTGTAACAGTACACATTCATGCACACACATGAACATGTACTACATATGCAATTTTACCATCTGTAACTCTAGTTCTAGAGGAATCCAAGGTCGTCTTCTGACCTTCATGAGCACTACATTACATGGGGACACTTACACATGCAGGCAATGCTCTCGTATACATAAAATAGCAAAAAAAAATTTTTTTTAAACCCAATTTAGTCATTCTATATAATTTCTAGTTCTTTTGTATGTAAAAGCTTATGAAATTATTTTTTTTGGTCTTTTTGAGACAGGGTCTCCCTGTAGCCCCAGCTGTCCTGGGACTCACTATGTAGACCAGGCTGGCCTTGAACTCACAGAGATCCAGCTGCCTATGCCTCCCAAGTGCTGAGATTAAAAGCATGCACCATCACACCCGGCTATCATATGCAATTTTTTTTAACAAAGAAATGCTATTTCTGTTGTGTGCCAGGCACCATGGTAGACACATTAGAGCCACTCAATGCCAACTGTCAAAACATATTTCCATATAGCATCCCTATTCCTCACATTCTCTTCATTCTTAATTAGGATTTTTTTTAGGTTGATGTCAGAAATGGCTAGACAATAGCTATAAATAAAATTATGCCCCAATACTTTCCACCAAAAGAACTTAAAAAAAAAAAAACCTGAGTTAGGGGCTGGAGAGATGGCTCAGTGGCTAAGAGCACTGGCTACTCCTGCAGAAGACCTGGGTTTAATTCCCAGAACCCACATGGAGGTTAACAACCATCTGTAGCTCTAGTTCTAGAGGAATCCAAGGTCATCTTCTGACCTTCATGAGCACTACATGACACGGGGACACTTAGACATGCAGGCAATGCTCTCGTATACATAAAATAGCAAAAAAAAAATTTTTTTCAAACCCAATTTAGTCATTCCATATAATTTCTAGTTCTTTTATATCTAAAAGCTTATGAAATTTTTTTTTTTTGGTCTTTTTGAGATAGGGTCTCCCTGTAGCCCCAGCTGTCCTGGAACTCACTATGTAGACAAGGCTGGCCTTGAACTCACAGAGATCAGCCTGCCTCTGCCTCCCAAGTGCTGGGACTAAAGGCATGCGCCACCATGCCTGGCCTGAAATGATTATTTATGGACTTCACAGTTTTAAAAGAATAGATGTCTTGATCGTAATTTAGGGATATTATCCTGAGCTAAGTTTTTGGGGTTGGCAATAGAAAATGTGGACGTTATGCATGTATGAGTGACCAGTGCTTCTTATACACATATCTATCCCTTTTTCATACTTATTTATTGCACTGTACAGAGGACTGAGTCCGGGGCCCTACACATGCAAGCTCTCTACCACTAAGCTCCATCCCTAGCTTAAAATTTATTATTTCCTTTTCTCTTTATTTAAAAATCTTTTTTTGAGATAGATTCTCACTTTGCCCAGACTGGCCTGGAACTCACTTAGGTAGCCGAAGCTGACCTCAAACTTACAGTGATCTTCCTGCCTCTTCCTCTCAAGGGCTGGGATTAAGCATGTTTTAGCACACCTAACTCTCCCCTTTACTCTCAATTCAATGAAGAGTATCCATGGTTTTTATAACTTTGATTAATGATCCTGTCTTTAAATTTTCTTTCTAATTCATTTCTAGTTATACAAGAAAATGCCTTTCATCTCATTTGGGACACCAAGAAAGGACTTTATTCTTGTCTGATGAGTGTTAAAGCAGTGTCAGGAAATAAGGAAGTTGATTTTGTGTCTTGTAAACTGAGCAATTATAATCATAAAATTTTCATTCATAACATTTTGGAAAAAAATTGTATAACCCACTACCCAGAAAAAATTTCA